AAATCCGTTAGTATATCTTGGTATAATAAGTGGTGATGTTTTCTGATGCAGAATCCTTATTTAATGCTTTTGCAACGGCTGCATTTTTCAAGTTTGTAGTCTTCTCAATTTTTGAGATGAGATATCTTCTAGCTATATGGAAGGCGAGTAGACCGATGAATAATGGCGAGGGTTGGGAAACAATGAGACGCGAGCTGTCATTTCTATATAGCCGTTTCTGTGAGTAGTATTTTTCTTTAATATTTGGGTGTTCCTCAGTTGACATGGATGAAAATTATGAGTGATGCTAGCATGCACGGAAGCTCCCCCCCCCCCCCCCCCCCCTCTTCCTCCCATGCACGCACATCCATGGCATAATTTGATGATTATAAGGCTGTCTAACTGAAAAATTAACTATATATATGTTTGCAGTTACAACTTAAAGGTTATTTAACTTATGTTTATTAACTTCTACTTTTTCTTGCCATTGAGAAAAGAGGAAAACCATGTGTACTTTCATGTGGGTCTTGATTATTGTTACTGTATTTGAAATTTTAAGGTTAACATCAGCATGATCATGGTTTGCAGATGGAATCCTTTTGGGAGGCATTCTGTTCATGTACGAGTTTCATAACTATCTGCGACCTATTCTTCTTCTTATGTACTCATTCTGGATACCTCAAATAATCACCAACGTCATTCGTGACTCAAGAAAACCTTTGCATCCTTATTACATCTTAGGGATGTCTGTTACACGACTTGCAATCCCATTGTATATATTTGGATGCCCTAATAACTTCATGCGCATTGAACCTGACAATGGTTGGTGTGTCTGTCTGGGTGTATTTATCGGACTTCAGGCGTCTATTCTTCTTCTTCAGCATTATCTTGGGTCTCGGTGGTTCATTCCTCGTCAGGTATAGTAAATATCCTATTATTTTCTTCATCTTTTTTTTAACTGTTTTTAGTAAGCAGTGATAAAACACATGCACATACTAAAGATTGCATGACAAGCTTTGTTAACTTCTTTACGTTCAAGAGCCTTTAATCTAGTGTAAGGAGCAGTTTACATCTCATTGAATAAATTTTTTCAACTCTTATCATAGTTTTCCTATTGGCTTTTTTGCTCATCGTGTTATACTTGTTAATATGATAAAAATGTTCAATCTTTCATAACAATGTACTTCCATGATCTTTTTTACCTGTCCCTTGTACAGACTTACGTAGTCTAGAGTAAGGAGCAGTTTAGATCTCATTGGATAAATTTTTTAAAATTCTTGTCATAGTTTTTCTAATTGGCTTTTTTGGTAATCTTGAAATATTTCTTAATATGAGGAAAATGCTCAGTTTTTCATAACCATGTACTACCATGATCTTGTTTATCTGTTCCTTGGACAAACTTACATAGTAGATTCAGAAATTCATGAGTATAGCTGCATCTCGTTGAAGACAAGGAGGGAAAATTTTATTTCAGCCTTTTGTGCAATGTTACACATCATGCAGACAAGGGAATGACTTCTCATACAGAAAATATAGATATTTTCATAGTTCTCACTATTTTAGTTCAGAATCAGATTGTAATTTGGCTCCATAGATACTTTCGAAGTTCTCACATTTTTAATTCAGAATCAGATTGTAATTTGGTTCCTGGAACAGGTATTAAAAGCATATGACAAAAGCAAATTCTCATGTCTACCAAACCTTGACCTTTCAATTTCTTGGACTTGCTTCATTTTCCATGATTTTAAGTTATGTTGTGTATCACGCCTACTTTAGTTGATTCTCTTATTCAACTGTGCAATTTACATCAATAAAGTGCCAATTTATTTACTCTTTCATATGGATGTGAATTGCATTATTTCAGTTAGTCTTCTTACTATGCCCCAAGCTCCATGATGTTACTTTTGGTTGGCACCTTATTCTGGTTTTATGGTATGCAGATCTTGCCTGAGAAATACAGCTACTATAGAAGGTTTGATCAGGATACAGATCATGCTACAGATTGTGTCATTTGCATGACAGCCATCGATATCACACAGCGATCTAATGATTGCATGGTACATTTGTATCCTGTAATGTTGCTTTTTTCTTAAAACCTAAATTCAATCTAATTTGTCGCTTCATAACAGGTTACACCTTGCGATCATTTCTTCCATTCTGGTTGTTTACAAAGGTGGATGGATATAAAGATGGAATGCCCAACTTGCCGGCGGCCACTTCCCCCAGCATAGAGGAAATTTTGTATTTCGTGTTCATGTCACATATCCATGACCTTGTCCAAGTCAATTTTGGTAATTGACTTGCTCCAAATTCTAAATTCTGACAATTTTTAGGTGGAGTTGGGAAGAAAATTGTTAATTGAAAGCACGAGGGTCTTTTCCTTGTGCAGCATTTATCAGTCTATCATTTAAATCTGTAAATTTTTATAAATTTCCCATCAAATAAATTAGGCTGTGAATTTCACAATCTCTTGTGCTTCCATTTCTATGCCCTGTATTTCACTCTGATTCACCATCAATTTGTTGCATTTAAATGATTGTCTGTAGCATAATTGACATGGTTATGAATTCAGCTGGTGTTATCCCATCTCTATAATCACACATCTGGATTTTGTTTCAGGTTGGTGAAAGAACCCATCCATATTCGGCTTTTGGGTACACCTACAGAGTATGGCCAGAGAGAGCCTAGGCAATTTGTATCTCCTACTGATGCTGCAATAGTCTGTAATCAACACACATTTTATCAACTGTATCATATCTAATTTTAGTGCCAAAGAGAAATTCTTATCAAATGCAAATTATATCTGCCTTCAACCTTTTGACTCCCATAGCAATTTTCTTTTTGATCTTTTTGCTTCTTTATACGTATTTATCTACAGGACATTAAAGAGAAAACAAGTAAATAACTAGTTGTTCAGTGCATAAGCTTCGGTTGATATGTCATGTATTGTTTGTGTGAGATTTACTCTGTGCCCTATCTATGTTAAGTGGTTGGCTGGCTAGCGAAAGTCGTGGAAGTGTCACTGTTTCATTCATGAGAATCTTTAATGTAGCAAATAACTCCTTTATTCCATCCTTGTTCGAGAAACATGGTTAATGGAAACTGAAATCAGCTAAACACGTCTAATGGGCAAAGACAATATTACTGCTGTGAGGCGTGAGGCATGTCTTCAGAATGCCATGTAACATAGATGATCTGTGACTTCTTTTTCAACCCAAAATAACATAGGTGAATTGCGAAAAGGGGTGTCTGTAAGATGGACGATAAATCAAAGGGCACTGGGTTGATTTTATCTGATGTGGATTCGAATTCAACCGTAGAACTCTATTGCACTAAATATAAGTATGGAGCTGAGAGAGGTCCGAGAGATTTTGGTGATAAGATGTAGGAACCAAGCAGCTAGAAGTTGGTCAGAGCAAAATCCTTCGCTGTTGTCCAAATTATTGTACCTGACCTACTTGTTTCTTGTTTCTTCATTATTTTCAAATTATGCTGCTGCTGTTGTTTGATTCATTTTGTCTAAGATCATGGCATATTGTTAGTAAGGTAGACAAGATACCATACCGGCAGCATTTTCTTGTCCGAAGCCGGTAGTTATGGGAACTTTCAGTCACCAACAATCTCCAATCCGATGATAACCTTTAATCTTCACTGAGTCATTGACCAGATAAAAAAAGACGTGTAGTTACATAATGCATTAAGATAGTACTTTCACACCTTTTAGCACATAACGTATATCACAGCATGTCATGGTATAGTTTTGAGGACGAGATTGAGTTTGCTCAGAAGAAAAGCTCCAGTGCTGAGATTCAGTAAAGCTAAATACTGATCAATACTCTTGCAGATATATTCTTCACCTTAGATGCATAAGGCTAGAATATTGCAGGTTAACCTATTTGAACAAGCAAGACCTTAAATGGTTAAGACATTATCCCTTGACAGATTTTCTGGCACTTTTGTCTTTAACCTTGGCAATAGTTTTCTGAAATTGGTGAGTTTAAAGTTAAACAAAGAAAGAAGTTTACAACTGCAGTTGTTCATAACCACACATCTATAGGATTATATAACTCAGTGTACAAATTTCAGATGTTTTATTTACAAGTCCAAACAAAGATTATTTCCAAATCATATTACAATGGTGCTTATGTGAGGCCAGGACCAGGAGCAATAGAAGGTGCTACCATGGGAGGAGCTAATGCAGGCACCATAGCAGGAGCTAATGCAGTTGCACCTCCAAAGCTGCCATTGCTGTTACTTCCTCCACCACCCATACAGTGGTACTCAAAGCAGTCTACAGGATGCACTGCCTCACATTCTTTCTTGCTCCTTTGAAGAGGTTTGTCAGGCAAACAGTTTCGACGGTCATCAAAAGCTATGCCCTTTGATGTCAAGTTCTGGCAGATTCCCTCCTCCTCGCAAAAGAAATTGTAAGAGAAGGTAAAATTGGCTAAATTTGGCAAAACACACACCCCAATTGGTACAACACCTGTCATCATGTTATGTGCCAAGTTTAGTTGCTCTAACCAGGTTAACCCTGTAATACTGTAAGGTATAGGACCGACCAGCTTGTTAAAGCTCACATCTAATACCTTTAGCTTGTAGAGAAAACCCACTTCTGGAGGTAAACAGCCTGATAAACTAGTGTTGGTCAAGAGCAGCTCCTCTAATGTGTTGGCAAACTTGGCTATAGTAGGTGGCAAGCAGCCCCCAAATTTGTTGTTGGCAAAGACCACAACCGAAGCTGAGCTTCCATTGAAATTTGATGGAATAACACTAGTGAATCGATTGTTGTTAACAAAAATGGCATCAAGATCTTTGCTGAAAAGTTCAGAAGGCAATGGCCCTTCAAATTCATTATAGCGAATGTCAAGATACTTTAGAGTAGGGAGAGAGAGCACAACCGAAGGAAAAGGGCCTACGAATCTGTTGTTACTAAGATCAAGCTCATAGAGGAGTGTGAGATTGGCCCAGGATTGTGGGAGAATGCCACAAAAACGGTTGCTGTTTATATGGAAAAGTGCAAGGTCACAGAGGAGGCCTAATTCATCAGGGAGGAACCCAGCTATATCTGCATGGTTAAGGTCAATGCCAGCAACAACATGAATATTGGGGTCATAAGGAGAAGGTGCACAGTATACACCATTGTACTTGCACACAGAGGGACCAACCCAGTCCGAGGTGAAGTTGTTTGGATCAGAATAGATTACCCGCTTCCATGCCTGGAGTGCAAGATAAGCTTGGTGGAGCTTTTGGTTTGAAGAGGAAGAGTGGTTATGGTGGTGGTGATAATGATGGTGAGAAACTGAGTCAGAGTTGCTGTGTTTTGCTGCTACAACTTCTAAAAGAGAAGATAGATGAACAAGTGAGAGGATGAAAGCGCAGACCATGAGGAAAGACAGGAAAGATGAAGCCATTCTTTGATGGGTACTGCAATGCTAGTAATCTTACTTGTTTATATAGACAACTTGTACCATTTGATAGAGATGCTCAGTCTTATACGTAATTATGATCTTCATTTCCAACAAAAGCAATTATAATATTTCAAGATGAATCATAAACCCACAAACTATTACAACGACCTGATATAGTGACAGTTAACCATTCACAGATGGCCCTAAACTAGCAATGGTACATTCTATATTTAGATGCTTCCATATGATAAACTCCTAAATAATTTAAGGACACTACTACAAAATAAAACAATGAAGTTAAGCACTTATCATGATGAACTGTGTTGTTCTTATTGTAATTCACAAGTCTATTACCTAGTGTTCGTGTTCGCATGGTAAACTAATTAGCATTTCGCTTGCAGGTTGTAAAGAGAGTTCATTTTAAGTCGTGAACTAAACATTGGAATTCTGATACCAAGCTTAAGTTTTCAAAAAATATTAAGAAAAGCGTATCAAAATGAAATGTTCATTTTATAACACTGACGTTTGCAGGACATGTCCACTGTTGCAGGCCAAAATTAGATTTTGGGGGTAGACTGGAAACTGGTGATGATTGATATGGTATGCACTAGAATGTTTTCTTGGACAAGGTTACAGTGATTATTATAGGCAGACAGAAGACAGAATTTGGAAAATATGCATAAAAAGGACTTACCTCCTGCCATGTAGTTTTCTGCAGTTGTTTGAAGTGGTGTGGGAGAGAGACAGATTCAGCTGCCATGGTAGAAAAAAAAAAGTTTCGTAGAACTGAACGCATGGACTCTTGTGGGCCACAAAAATGAAATGGTGATCAAATTTCAGCAGCTCGCTTGTCAATGGCTTGCAGCTTCCCTGTCATAGAATGGATGTCGCCACCTATGTAGATCATACTTTCCATGA